GGCACCACAGACCTGCCAGGGGCACCACAGACCTGCCAGGGGCACCAGAGGTCTGCCAGGGGCACCACCGGCCTCGCAGGGGCACCTTGAGCCTGTCAGGGGCACCACGGGCCTGCCGAGGGGCACTTCAGACTTTTCAGGGGCACCAGTCCTCTCCGGGCGCAGGGGTACCAGCAGCCTAGCAAGGGCACCAGAGGCCTGCCAGGGGCACCAGCGGCCTAGCAAGGGCACCAGAGGCCTGCCAGGGGCACCACAGGCCTAACAAGGGCACCACGGACCTGTCAGGGGCACCTCAGGCTTGTCAGGGCCCAGGGACACCACAGTCCTTCCAAGGGCACCGCAAGCCTGTCAGGGGCACCAGAGGCCTGCCAGGGGCACCACAGGCCTAGCAAGGGCACCACAGTCCTTCCAGGGGCATAACAAGCCTGTCAGGGGCACCAGAGGCCTAGCAAGGGCACCACAGGCCTGCCATGGACACCACAGGCCTGCCAGGGGCACTACCGGCTTTGCAGGGGCGCCTCAGGCCTGTCAGGGGCACCACGTGCCTGCCGGGGACACTTCAGGCTTGTCAGGGGCGTTACAGTCCTGTTAGGGCCCAGGGGCACCAGGCCCGTGGTGTCCCTGCTAGGCCTGTGGTGCCCCTGGCGGTCCTGTGGTGCCCCTGTCAGGACTGTGATACCCCTGATAGGCCGGTGGTGCCCCTGGCAGGTCTTTGGGCCCCCGGGCCTCAAGGGGGGGCCATGACCCATGTGACCCCCCCCTTGGATCCGCATCTGGTTTAAACTCATTTTGGTTTTGCTGCTTGGCTGACCTGCTGTCTGTTGTTGCGCTGTTGATAGAGCATTGAGCATAAAATTATGTTACCCATCCCTCACTAGTTGTTAAATATATAGCGAGCTATCTGCTCTTTGGAGTCATATTAATATATTATTTCCACAAGTAACAACACAATGAATTTTTTTAGGGAAGGGGCCCAAGGGGACGGTCAATCCTCCCGGCTGACTGGGAGTTAATGGCTAATCCCATCGCCACCCCAGGTATTTTCCTCGCGATCGTTCAAAAACCCTGCACGATTGAGGACTGGCGGTTGGTAGGCATACTTGACCGTGAATTTAATCCGCATCTTGTGGCGCCAACCGCATTTTCGTTCGGGTAAGGTCAGGTCACCGACCTACGCTGGCGGATCCAGAGGGCGGCAGGGGCTAAAGCCCCCCCCATTCGAAACCCGACAGAGACGGCAATATGAATTAGCCCCCCCTCCCCAAAATGTGCTGGTATTGGTAATTAAAATGATTGATTGCTCGTAAGTTCCAACCTTCGATAGTGATTGAAGTCTCTTTAGAAATTCCTTTTCGCTATTAAGTTGGTAGTGATTTGGTAGCTATTCAAGGATGGAAAAGTGGCGCCCAGCTCACTTTTAGCGTCGGAGTTTTTGATCACGTGACTTTCATGGTTAACTTTACGTTTTTCAATGTTGTAAATTAAACGGAAGTGTTATACATCAAACTTGTTACATTTACGATGTTTTTAGCAGCAATCGTGTTATTATATTTGAAAATTATATTCTGCAAAAAAGAAGTCACGTGATGTTACCAGATTCTGTGTTAGGACAGCCTACTCGAGCTTCGATTTTGAGTACTTTTTAGCTTCTCTGAAGCAAAGTAATGGACGTTTTCAGATAGGGAAAGAAACACTGAATCTAATGAGGGCAAGATTTAATCATTTTTTGCACTTCTTAAGTGAGATATCCTGGAATGAACTTTGGACACTGATAATTTCGGTCCAGTGATCTTAGTATATTTAGAGAGAATCATTTAACATTTTGTAAATTGTGAAGCACCATTGGCACCTTTTGCAACATAACGGGCGGGGCTATAAAGCTTGCAACAATCCCTATGTAAATGGGGCTGGTGTAACGTGTTCGCTACCATATTCTAGTTTGAACTAAAATATCTAGTTTATTATAAATGAAGAGTTTTAGTAGTAAAAATTAGAATAATTCCACAGGCGATGGCTAATTCTTCCTTACATTAAATGTCCAATATGACCCTCCGGTCGCCTTAACCCTCGCCCGCACATGCCATTTTCCCATCCTAGAACGCACATGGGGGGGGGGGGTGGTTGCCACCCCCCCCCCCCCGCGCCATTTCGTTCCTGTTGGAGATAGAGCTTAGCGGTAAAGACCAAAAAGATTCTTTGGGAAGAGACGAATCCAATGATACCCAGTTTTACCTTCTCAGGTCAGTCATTGACCTTCCAGGTCAGGTCAAACTAAAAAATGTTGCTGTTTTGGGTCACCGTTGGATATCAAGTGCGCTGCTTATCAAATACCGATGACGATGCTGTTTTCTGGTGCCAAGCCAGCTAGAACCTCTTTGTCACACTACCCGACCAGATTTTTGCTGCTGAGGTCATTTCAGGTCAAGGTAGGTCAAGGTCAATTATATGTGTTTGTATGTCTGTGTGTGTCTTTGTGTATACTGATGTGTGCACCGATTGTTTTTGGGTCCATATTACATGAAATCATGATCTGAGAAGCTTTTACCAAAAATGCAGTCAAAAAACTTCACAAAAAGTAAATTCAGCTTGCCTAAAACGCAATTATCTTAGATGACCTAGGTTGACCTTGACCCTGACCTTGACCCCTGTACATCGTCGAACAACATGTTCCATGATAGGTGGGAGGTAAGACTGGCAAAAAAGGCCGAAATCAGGGTGTCAAAAGCTCACAAGGCCCATGGCAAACGCAAGATGTTGAGAACTGGCCATTTGGGTCATGACATGACCTGAAAAACAAGGTCATATCTCCGAAACAAAAAATCACAGAAACTTGAAATTTTCAGTGGACATCCAAAAAAGATAGAGGAGCAGCTATACGAAAAATCAGCCTTCTAGCTTCAAAAATGTTCAGTGCAGAGCAGAAAGACTACCTGGGGGGTGGTGGCAACCACCCCCCCCCCCCATGTGCGGGCGAGGGTTAAACCCCCTGCTGTGGGCTGGGTAGTCACCATCCGACTAGAATAGCTTAGCTTCCATTTAGAGCATATGCCCCTGTGCGTTGGGGTTTACGACTTACGTTTCAGAGCTCGAATAGCTTGTCCCTCGAGACGGGCACATCCAGGGGGTGTCGAAGTCTAGTAGGAAAATCTGGCAAATTCCCTGCGTGACGTCACGTCGGGGATGACCGACGGCACCTTGCACTGAAAGATACGGCAGAACGGCTATTTTTGAAAAATGATTAAAAATACTTTTGTGCTGTTATGACGCATAAAACGCTTATCAGCATGTTCCTCATCATGTGATAAAGGCATATCCGTGGTCGAAAATAGCTGAGCCCCTCCCAATTTCCAACCACCGACCTCATAAGCAAAGGATGTAAGCGTAATCCTTAAGGGCGACTTTCCTATACATATCCGTACATATGCGTCCTTATGGAAATCGGTAGTGTGGCGATTGGCGACGCGCGCGACATCTGTGTGGCGACCAAGTGGCGACTGTGGCGACACCTGGTGGCTGCTTTTCTGCTGTACGAAGGCATTGGGGTTTTGCCAGATGTGGTTCCTACTGCTACACCACTATGTTGACCCAATACTAGAAAAGTTATTTTGCTAGTAAAAGGCAAGCAAATTGAAAGTTGATTTATAAAATTGCTTATAAATGATTACGAGATAATAATAAAGAAATTTTGATTGAATAATTATTTAAATAATCAACCGTGAAACTATATTCTGGTAGGTTTAGTAGAAATAAGTCCGTGCAACCTTGTATTTAGGGCCTTGGGCACATCCTTGTCACTCCACTTTTGATGACATCCTAAGGGGACCTCAAGACAATAATGGCGTGGTGCGCCACAATCGCTCCCAAGCTACTTGCCAACAGCAGCCATTTTTCAAAATATTATTTTGAAATTAAGTTTTAAATAATGAAAATATTGTAATGAAGTTGTAAATTAAATCTAAACCTTATCTAAAATCTTACTGAAAAATGATTTATTCATGGTTAAAATATAAGCTCGATGCGTTTTCACGTTGCTTCCCTGCACTGCTGCAGATGGTTTTTAAATAGTCTATCTTCAAAACTGGCAATTACTTAGCATATTGCTACTCCTAATTGTCGCTAGAAAATTAGTTGGGCTTTCCACTGACATCAACGGTTGAGCAGTGTGTCGAGAGCGCCATAAATAATCTTCAAATGAAGTTAGTCATTTCTACGTTGCAGAGGGATGGAGTATTTATATACACTGTGGGATGGAGTACCCCTTGCGAGCATCAGGGGTGACGTCACTCAGGATCTGTTTCTGATTGGTCGGCGGGCGAGTGACTGTATGCACCTTCCATAGATGGCCTTGGGGGAGGGTGCCCAGACCAATCTGAAGAAGTATAGTCACTCGGCCAACCATTCAGAGGCCGATCCACAAAATAAACTTAGCTAAAATGAAAGCGTATGATCCAAGGCGTATGGTCAGAAAATTAGTTCACATAGAAGCTAGCCATACTTCTATTGCCCTCGTTGTCTTAGAGGCTAGAGCGCAGGTAGCTCTCCAAGTAGTTCAGGGCGTCGAAGGACCGGCGACTACAATCGGTCGTCACTGGGGGGAGGGTTTAGAAAAGATGCGACAGCCCTGCAATCTCTTCGAATGTTTCCTCAGCCCGAGCATCTCGCAGTGTCCACCTGTCATGCACCATAGAGATCATCGCCGGGCATCGCCGGAAGTGGGCCTCATGGCCTCACGTCTTCCATGCCACAGCCGAGGCATGATGATGCATGCTTCTGTAATCTGTATGTATAGCTTTTTGTACTCCATTCGAAAGCACGCAGAGGGCGACATGGAGCTGAAGAGACCTTATGTGACTTGCTGAATACTCGCCCACGAGCTCCGTGGGAATTGAACCGCTGCTTCCGTTGAGAGACCTGCCTGGTTTAATATAAGGCAGGAGCACAGCGAGACCTGTCACGCAGCGTCGCCGCTTTTAGGTTTAATCTGCGTCGCCGTTTTCCAGTCGGACGCAGCGTGGGCACGGAGTAGCCAAGCTTCACTTCCACCCTACCGAAGGGCTCAAGGTGCGACCCAGGTAGAACCTATAGAGCCTTGGGTAGAACGTGCTCAAGCAAACCAGGCAAACGCTGAGCTGCTCCTTTCCGCTCATGTCTGTGGTCTCGTCTGCCAACAGTGCCAACAGTGAGAAAAGATCAGGAGGGAGAACGTCTGTCCCAATAGCATGTCGGAGTACGATGTTATGACTGGAATCCATTGAATGGACTCGCAGGATAAATGTGGTGCATGTAGCCCTCGTAGTAGTATCGATGACATTTCAGCTCATGAACCCCACATTCTGCCATGATCTGCAAGTTGGAAAAACCCTCGTCGTAGCCCACTTTCTCGTTCATATGTTCATTCCGTTGCCTATATGGCCCCTGATAGGCTGTCCGAGCCTCCTCCAATGTTCAATGCCTCGCAGGGCCCGCTCCAGTGCATGTCATGTTTCGAGATCGCTGGTCAGACACAGCTTTGTTCTGCATGTCGAGGACACTGATGCCCCGAATTGCTAACTATGAGCCAGCTGAGCACGGGCACCTTGCTAATCTTGTGATAATGACCACAGTGTATAATGACAATTGATGTGTGTCGTCAGTCAGTGGTCCTGATTTTAAGGTGCGGCTGCTTAAGTAGTGTTTTCGGGAGCAAGGATAGCGAAAGCCCATCCGCTTCCGAGGCCCAGCCCCCAAACAGAACGCAGGCTTACAGAAAAAAACACTAAAATCGCTGGCCTGGTACATCCCCGAAAGTGTCCGAGTTCCAATATACTTGCGCCGCGTTGATTCAGCTTCCCGACGTTCAGTGTGTTACCAAGCAACCAGGTAGCGCCCGTCCCACGGTTTTAAGGGTTCGGGCCAGTTAGCGACATGTTCACGACTCACGAGCCTGCCAATAGCGTTTCTGACATCGTTGATCTAAGCTGACGTGATAAGCAAGAAACCCACCAGCTAAGTCGATCCATTTTCAGAACGATCTTTCTGTTTCAGGCGATTCTGACGAAATGCGAGCAGTTCAGTGACAAGAGGGGATTGAAATAGGCATCAAATTAGTCCCAAAATAGTGGCGAGACAGAAATTATGCACGGTTCCATGGTTAACCCTAAGCAGGGCGGCGGAGTCGGTGGATTTTAGGGTGACTCTGACTCCGACTCCGGCTTAAAAAATCGACTCCGACTCCGACTCCATTTTTCGACTCCGACTCCGAAAATTGCGAAAATTCGCCAGACTCCGACTGGCTGCCCCTGGCAGGGGTAGCCAGTAACAGTTCGTAGCATTAGGCCAAATGGGCGCTCAAAAACTACTACCCCATAGGGTTTCCATGTTAAATCGACCTTTTTCAAGCGAGTCTCACGCGTAAGCTAGAAGATAAAGTGCCAATATTATTGTGGGGAAAGGTAGCGTCAAGCTTCCCCTACAACCTTTTTATCTAGCGTTTTTCGATGCGCAGGCCATAACAGGTCCAAAAAAGCATTGGGCGCTGCCCGAGGTACCAAAAGCCCCTCCATGAGAGCACAAGTTCCTGTGCATGCGCACATTGCCTCAACCCTGTACTGGCGTAAATTAGTGATACTGCTTACGGACTCGATCAGCTAATCAGCGTCCCCGATTACATTGATAGATGTCGCTAGCATCACGTAAATCATGCTTGCGAACACATTTTAAGAATGAAACAGCTGCACCCTTTCTGCCTTCCATTGATTTCTTCCATCTTAGTATCAACTATACGCTTTTCAACTAACTGTTAAGACTAAGTTTTAAACTATGGTTAGTATGTTATTTCTGGTACATATGATTTAAAAATAATTGCTTTATGAATTTGGCTTTACTCGTCAGAATGGAATACTTTTTCCATATTCAAAAATACATCTTCTGCCATGTAACTCATCCAGGTAAAATGGGCGCTTTCCGCGTCGTTGGTGTACCCGTTGTTCTAAATACCCTGGGCGTGACGGTTGCCAGTTGCCACCCTACGATTACAGTTCGCCGCTGAGCATTAAAGCCTAGTTCACTGCAGACGCCCCAAAACTCCTCAATGCGACGGTTAGGACTTTAGCATGAGGTGGAGCTGGGATAAGCCCCTGCTTACGACAAAATACAGTGACATACTCATCTGACCCGCCTATAGCTCCCATAGTCTGAAATAAATAAAAAATAAAAACCGTCTGATGTAAGCGCGCGGCCATCGTGAATCACTAGAAACGCAATGAAAATTTTTTGGCTTTCCCGAAGTTTTGTTTGGTTGAAGCAGAAACATGTGTCGCGTATTTTTTAAAAACCTAGTATGTGCCAGCGAGCTCAAACAGAGAAAAACGCGAAAAACCAAAATCATGCTGACGTAAGGAAACAGTGGCCAACACCGAACAACTAATGTTTTATGGGTATGTTACAGGGAGTTTAAGAAATCCGTGAGTTTGCAAACCCTGACCCATCAGTGAGTTTGCAAATTCACTAGGGAGTTTGCAAACTCACTGACCGGTCAGGGAGTTTGAGAAATTCTAGAGCGATTAGGACAAATAAATAGGAAGTGTGTGGCATATGGGTGGCATACGTGCCGTCCGTGATATTAAAACAAAGGCGGCTAGTTGTATGGCCTATTTAACAGTCACACGCTGACAAAAAGCTTACAGATCATATGCACACCATACTTTTGATTTTAAACTGTTCAGTGATCTAGTCAAAACATGTAGCGCCGCTTTATTCAGTCATACATTTATTTAGTTCACGGCCCAATTGTATCCGCTCCACACAAGAGTGGCTATTCCAGAGTCAGACTCAATATATCAAAGTAAAAACAGCTAAGTTGGTCATTTATGCTAAAACATATAAGGCATAAGTGTGCAACTCTTGTGTGGAACTGATCTATAATTGGGACGTGAACTAAATAAGTGTATGACTAAATGAAGCGGCGGTACATGTTTGGGCCAGATCACTGAACAGTTTAAAATCTTAAGTAGGCATTTATGGTGTGCATATGATCTGCAGGCTTTTTGTCAGCGTGCGACTGTAAAATAGACCGTACAGCTAGCCGCCTTTGTTTTAACATCACGGACGGCACGTATGACACCCACATGCTGCACGCTTGTTTTTATTCGTCCCAATCGCTCTGGAATTTCTCAAAATCCCTGACCGGTCAGTGAGTTTGCAAACTCCCTAGTGAATTTACAAACTCACTGATGGGTCAGGGAGTTTGCAAACTCCCTAGGGAGTTTGCAAACTCACGGATTTCTCAAACTCCCTGTAACAGGTATATAATACTCGGTTTGGAATATGAAACTAGTGTCAACTGCTCACATTTGTGGCTAAATTGTCTAATACGGTCTTTACTATTATTTGTTTATCCCATCTTCGCACAGGAAAACCTAGTAAAATGCTTTACTATATTCTTCCTTGACTTTTCTTTGTTGTTTTTGAAACGATTGTTGTACTATACGGATCTAATTGTGCATTGATATTAGGTACCTGCACATGATCAGGTAGTATTTATTCAGCGATAACCTGCAGTGATGTGCTTTATACACCTCAGGTAGTAACATCCGTGTGTATGTAGCTATGAAATGAATGAGTGCGGTCAAAACTGGAAGGATGAAACAAATACATTTTGTTATACAAAAACACATGTATTGACAATGACAATGCCAGCTGCTATCACTGTTGCGGTCCTGAACTACCTTCATGACACCCTTCAGAGTTACCTAATCGCCTGCAGCTGCACCCATCGCGACTAACTAGTACGTGTCCACCAGGTCGGACGCAGATCTGTTGACCTCCAGGCTGTGCCAGAACCTTGTTTTCACAGGTGTGATTCCAGCAGAGGCAAGCAGACGCAGAATGCCTTCCTTTTTCTCGGGCTGCAGCCCACGTGGCTTGGCCCTGGGGTTCGCTTGAAGATCCAGCAGCTGGAACTTGGGTAGCAGAAAGTCCACTTCTTTCAATTCCGAGTCATAGTCTCCCTCTCGGTGCTCCATCATCCTTGATCCCTTGTTGAAGGTCACCTCACAGATGTTCTGCAGCTTTGGGAGGCTGAAACGACCTGCTGCTGGTGCCCTTCGAGACCGGACGCCGGACGCACACTTCTTGAAATCAGCTGGGCTCATCTTGACTACCTTGATATTGTGGCCAGACTTGTCAATAGCATCGCACAACTCTTCAAATGTTCTCTCCAATCCTTTTCATCTTCCTGCCGATCTGACCATGGGTGCTGTCTGCCTTCATGAAGGTGTGGCCCTTCTCCAGATATCTCATCTTGATGCGGTCTGGTCCCCATGCACTGTTTATGCAGGATGTCAGCACTGTGAAGAGTACCCAGTTCTTGTTCTGCCCACAGCAGTTGTCGGTCCAGGACACAAGTTTGCTGGCACCACTGAGTTCTACGCACTTGAGGTACGATGATGCCACTTATGCAGCTCCTCTGCCTGCCAGTTCCTCGTGCCAGAGAATGCAGAAGTCAGGTTGATTGCCATTCATACAAGCAAACGTCTCGTTGAAAATCACAAGTCTACTTACAAAGAAGTGATTTTTGATAGTCATTTTTGGTAGCAGGAGCACCTTCTGCATGTCCGCCGTGAAGGCCATCTCGCCTGGCTCCAGTTTATCGACCGTCTCCCTGTACGCGTCACGTGCCATTTTAGCTCTTTTTAGGTGTTGTCGCCCAGTTTCACACAGCTCACAGTTCTCACAGTCGCGTTCTGAAGCCAGGTTCCCAGCTGCTGAGGGACGGGAGGATCCCTGACTTGGCTCAGATGGCTCGCCGACGGTAGGACGAGGAGGACCGGTGCCAGGATCAGGGTCGCCGTGGGTATCGTCCGCCGAGCACGTCACCTGGACAAGGCAGAAAAGGTACCATCAGTCATCATACAGTATGGGTGTTGCTGCAATATGCATCGCATGGCAAAAGTAAGAATGTTTGATCTAACCTGTTGTCCGAGGGCTGGGACGGATGGCTCGCCGACGGTAGGACCAAGGCCCTATCGGTAGGACGAGGAGGACCGG